ACTTCAGATGCGTTCTCAAGCTTTATGTGCAAGTAAACTTCAGCTAAAATTTGAAAATGAAATAAATCACCAGTGACGTCAGGAAGGTACGTTAGAATCACTGACAGTCTGGAGATGTCGGAGTTGAGTATGCAAAGACCATATTCTGTTGATATGTGCAAGTAAACTTCAGCTAAAATTTGAAAATGAAATAAATCACCAGTGACGTCAGGAAGGTACGTTAGAGTCGCTGACAGTCTGGAGATGTCGGAGTTGAGTATGCAAAGACCATATTCTGTTGGTATCAGCAAGGATGGTACCACAAGAAGCTTGCAGTCACGAGAAGGATGCCTCTCTTCCTCCATACCACAGCACTGGGTTTATGGAAGAAATCAAGGAAGGCATTGAGCACAGGTCATTGGTGATAGATGCTTTGGGGCAGGTTGGACTTGACCAGAAACATCGTTTATGACTCACTTTCTAGTGTCTTCTTTCCCACTGAGATGCTTAGGGGACTGTCCAGGGACCGGCCCTGTGAGGTAAAGAAATGTAATTCCATGTGTATCACCTCTGAGGTGGGAAATGGATTTTATTTATCCCCCTGAGAATTTTCTTGACAAATAGCTGGTTTCCATTTCCTGACTATTGTGAATAGAATGCAAATGAACCTAGTTTAACAGGTATCTCTGTAGCAGGACACCAACTCCTTTCAGTCTATGCCCAAGAGTGATATGGCTGGATCATACGGTAGATCTGTTGATAGATTTTTTGAGGACTGTCTATAGTGATTTTCACCCTGTGTTTCCTTTGCCCCACATCCACACAGGTATATGTTTTTTTTTTTTTTTTTTTTTTTTTAGTTCTTAGCATCTAGGTAAGACGAATTCTCAACAGCTTTTTAATTTGCATTACCCTGCTGGCAAAGGATGGTGAATATTTTATTTGTTTTTTAATGTATTTCTTAAACATCTTATATATTATTTTTATTTAATATGTATGCGTGTGTGCATTGCCTGCATGTGGGTAAGTGCACCCATGTTATGCAATGCCCGCGGAGGACAGAAAAGGCCGTCAGATCCCCTGGGACAGGAGTTACGGACAGTTGTTAGCTGCCATGTGGGTGCTGGAATTCGAACCCAGGTCCTCTGCAAAAGCAGTCAGTGCTCTTAACCGCTGAGCCATCATTTTTCATCCATTTGTGTTTTGTTATTTGAGGACGCTGTTTCTTGCCACACTGTTAATTGTGCTGTGCTTTTGATCTTTAGTTTCTAACTCTTTATATAGTATAGATACTAACCCTCTGTCAGACGTACAACTGGTAAGGAATTTTTCTTATTCTCTGGGCTGCCTCATCCCTCGAACGATGGTGTCCCTTGACGTACAGAGCCTTTTTAGTTTCCTGAGGTCCCGCTGATCAATTGTTGGTCTGAACGCCTATAGTGTCCAGGTCCTATTCAGAAAGTGCTTTCCTTGGCCTCTACGTTGATCCATAAATCTCCGTTTTCTAATTTTTTTTATTTGTTTGTGTGTGTGTGTGTGTGTGTGTGTGTGTGTGTGTGTGTCTGAAAGTATGCTGCCTGACTTGACTAGGATGAGTGTCTGGAATCTTCTTGTATCTGTCCCCTCAATGCTGGGATTACATCCACGCTTCTCTTTACATGTGTTCTGAGGAGTCAAAGTCAGGGCCTCATGCTTGCAAAGGACTTTACACACTCAGCCATCGTCTTAGCCCAGTGTTTCATTTCTTTTAAAAATCTTTATTCTACATTAAAGTCCATAATGACTGTACTAGGTCTCTCTACAAGAGTCTTTTTAGTTTCAAATATGAGTAATAATTTCACTGCTGGGGTGGACTGTCAATGGATTTGGGAGCCTTAAGAACCAATGTGCTTTGGTAACAACCTTTGCAGGAGGAAAGATGTTTTCCAAATAGCTAAGGTATAAAAATAATGATAGCTACAACCACAAGTTTGACTTTGTCAGTTCTAACAGATCCCTATAATTTTGATTTTTTTGGACATTTGTAATTATTTCTTTTGTTTTACATCCTGTTACAGAGCAGTTCAAAAGAGGAGCATCTTGTAAAAATCACTTTTTGTTATAGTTTACTGTGAGCAGATTCTTTAAAACCTACTTTGCAATTGATAAATCTGCAAAGAGAAAAATAAATAAATAACAAAAAATGTTGGTGTTCCGGAGACCCCACATGAGTTCCTGAAGAGAGTTGTAGTGTGTGAAAATAATGAAGACCAAAGTTCCAAAATTTAATTTTCACTAAAAATATGACATTGGGAAGAAAGAAAAGGTAAGCATGCATATTTTTTTAATTTCGTTTTCTCTTCTTGTGATCAAGCCAAAAATTTTTTATTTCTTTAAAAAGCCAACTTCTTTACAAATAACATGTCTTTTGAAAATCATTTCATGACTACAATCTTTTATATTTCTTGTGAGTGATTTCTCAGTCTTCGACATGGTAATCGGAATTTAAAAAAAGACAGCAGTTTCTATACAAGAAGAAAAGAATTAAAGAAGGACACCGAAGTGTACTAGTTTCAAATAGGGAGGAAGAGCAGGTCGAAATGGAAAAAAAAAAAAAAAACATTTACAGAAAGATAGATAGATAGATAAACTCATGCATCAGGGTTGAGCATTGAAAAAACAAAAAATACCTTCGTCGTCACCACGTTCATTACTGGTAATATCATCTGCGATTTTCTTAGTGTTGGCTCCTGGGTCATATTGAGAAGGAATATAAAGAGGGGAAAAAGAGAATTCAAAACCAATAGGCTTGCCAAAAATTCAGAAGAGATAGATGTTACCCAGTAAAAGAAAAAGAAAAAAAAAAAGTAAGAAGAAAAACTAATGTAACACAAAAAAGTTGAATTTGGTTACATCTGGATCTCAAAAACCAAAACAAAATCAACAACAACAGCAACAAAAAACAAAACAGGGTAAATGCAAAATGCACAGGAACATAATGATGTCTAGAACAAATTCAAAATACCATTTGTAAAAATATTAGACTGTGAAAATGCTGTTTGGGAGGTTAAAAATGAAACTACTTCAAGAAAAACAAAGCTACTGAGAGTCATTTGAAAAAAAAGACAAAGAGAATCCAATTATTAGAAAATAGATTTCCCACATTCTTAAACGAAATGCACACTAAGTATTCAACAACTGTGTCATTTAAACACATTACCATATCTATACATCTGTTCCCTGCCAGTGATAGACTTCACTGATAAAACTTAGTCAAGTTGTGTAAGTGAAAAACATCTTTAAACACTAGACAAGAATGCATTTTAATCAAAATCTGGTAAAGTCAACATTAGCATCATGCATTAACTTATAAAAATAAATATGCCAGGAAGACTTTCATATGCCACCAGATACCACTAGTTTCTTAAAATAATAAATATTCACTTTGCTAGGGAAAGTTGCAGAAACCATGCACTACATCCCTTTTTATCTGTGATATATTTTTTTAAAAAGAAGTACTCTTTGAAACAAGTTATTTATTAAATCACGACAAAATATTATATAATATGATCTTAGTGTTTGCAAGATTTAGTTGATAGTATTTAAAAGGTACTGTGAATTTCATTTATGAATGAAAATGGGATTTTTTTTTTTACTTTAAATGATTTCTGCATAGGAATTCAAATATTTTTTGTGGTTTAAATGTTCCTACATTGCAAAATGTCCAGGTATCCACAAGAGAATATAGATGAGGAAGATAAAAAAATGTGTTGTGACATCCGTTAAATATCGCTGCATGCTATGTGATCACACCATGTAGAAGGTAGGCTTGAGCCACGTAAAGAGGAACACAAAATTGAATGGCTATTGCGTTAGGCTGACTACCTTTTTTGGTTGTTTTTCTCAGGCATAACCAATACGAAGCTATTAAAAAGTTATTCAAAGAGGTGAGTTTGAATTTACGTGAAGAAGTATACTGGTTTCCTTTTCCACAAAATGCTACCGTGAATGATACTCCAGGCCATGTGTGTGGGCAAACAGACCGTCCGCACCCTTGGAAACACAATGAAATTGTGAAATGAGATTTCATGTTTGGGTTCTGTGTCTCTATTGATAAACAGATGATGTGGTGGGCACACTATTCTCCCACTCGAAAAGAACAGATATCAGACAAACTAGGTGTGTAAAGACCACACGTGTGGGACTGATGAGAGTAGAGAACCTGGGATCATGACACTCAGTGTTCGCTGACCGCATTTCAATCTCTAGTACAGTCTTAGAGAGAGCAAATGGTTGTCTACTTTGCAGGCTACTAACTAGAGTTGATGCATTTACCTTGCCCCTGAAATTAAACTTATTTATACCTTTTTCTTACAGTTTTCAATGCGTGTCTTATAAGTAATATATGTATCAGAATATCATTTCATCTCAGTGTAGATAATGCTTTGGTTGTACCAACTATCAAAGATGTTTCCCAATCACATGTGTCAAAATGGCTAAGCTTGGTAACCAGGGCTGGAGGGATGCTGCTTTCTGCCCCCAGCACACATGTAAAGTCGGGTTCTGCTGTGATGGCTCAGCAGATAGGGACATGTGCTGCGAAGCCTCCTGACCTGAATTCCATGCTGGGGACCCACAGTGCGGAAGCATGCAAATTGTCCTATGACTTTCATTATGTGTATCATACCATATGTCTGCACAAACAGAGAGAGAGAGAGAGAGACAGAGACAGACAAAGAGAGAGAGAGAGACAGAGAGAAAGACAGAAAAAGAGAGACAGAGAGAGAAAGAGAGAGACAGAGAGACAGAGAGAAACAAAGAGAGAGAGACAGAGGCAGAGAGAGAGACAGAAAGAGAGAGAGACAGAGAGAGAGACAGAGAGAGACAAAGACAGAGAGACAGAGAGAGACAGAGAGCAACAGAGACAGAGAGACAGAGAGAGACAGAGAGAGAGACAGAGAGAGAGAAAGAGAGAGAGAGACAGAGAGAGACAGAGAGAGACAGAGACAGAGAGACACAGAGAGAGACAGAGAGACAGAGAGGGACAGAGAGAGAGAGAAAGAGAGAGAGAAAGAGACAGAGAGAGACAGAGAGACAGAGACAGAGAGACAGAGAGACAGAGAGAGACAGAGAGAGAGAAAGAGAGACAGAGACAGAGAGATAGAGAGAGAGAGAGAGAGAGAAAGAGAGAAAGAAGGTAGGAAGTTTGAAAACACCCAGTGCTGAACTCTGTCCTCCAAACACACTTGCTTACACATGTATACACTTCACAGTTACACACACACCTAAGCCACATACACACATAATAATTGATAATAATAATAATTTGTGAGACTCCATTCTAGGAGAGCTGCTCAAGAAACATAAAGGCACAGGGTATCATAAGCATTTTAAGGTATTTATATCACATTCTTGAGTATTTTCAGTACAATATATCCCCACAGTCAGTCCTTCCAAGTCAGTTTTGTTGCTCTATAAGATTTTCCTTGTCAATATATTTGTAGATATAGACACACATAGTATACGGTGCGTGTGTGTGCGTGTAGGTGTGTGCATGTGTGTGTGAATGCTTTCAAAATACATTCCTCTCGTGATACACCTCAGATCTCTTTACGAGTAAAAAAATTCCTCCATTCTTATCATCTTTGCTCATTTTGAACTAATTTTTGCATGTGACATTGGGCAAACGTTCCATGCATCTGTCAGAAGATAAGTGATCGATCATCCCTGCATCATTCGAAAGACTATCTTTGGCTCACTGAGTTATTAATGGGAACACTGTTAGAAATCTATCAACTATAAAAAGAAAGATTTATTTCTGCACCCTTGAGTTATATTCCATTGATGAAGATTTACACCTTGGAGTCCAACACCATCTTAATTAATTTTGAGTGTGTAATGCAGTTAAAAAGAGAGAAATGGAAAACCCTTAATTCTCTGTCCTGTCCTGTTGTCTTCTGGGTTGATTCTGTGAAATTTCCTTCCTGTGAAAATTTCTTAATGTGCTTGTCAAATGAAGCAGAAGCTTGTACTGAGATCTGATTTTAAAAAACCGTTTGTGAAACCACAATTTTAAATTGATTTCATACATCAGAAATGGGCCAGACACACAATTAGATGCGTCCTTTGAATTGTTTACATATATTTAGTTTCTCAGGCTTTAGTTTCTTTATAACATATTTTTTGTTCTATATTTCCTGGGAAAATATAAATAATTAAAGGGCTTAAACGGGAAACAGAGTGCCTTTGCGAGCTAACGTGGATACCATGCTTCTGTGTTAAAAAAGGGGATCAAAAAGTGTGCGGACACCATTTCCCAAGACGATCTAATTGATAGCTGCCCCAAGTGGTCAAACAAAATCCAGATGGGCCTTTTTCCCTTTTGCTATACACACTTCTTCCACAAATATTTACAAAATATTCCTTTACCCTAAACAAATAGATCCTCATCAAACCTCAGTCAGAACATGGGCACCAGGTACTAAAGTAAATATTCATATGCCTTTTACAAATGCATTGCACATCTTCTATGAACTGCTTCATGGGTGAATAATTTTAAGTTTCTTCACCCTTAAGAACATCCATGCTGGGGACAGGGGTAGAGCTCAGTTTGTGTAATGATTCCATACAATCCATGAAGTTATGTGCACTAAGCGTGTGAAAGGTGGAATTAGGGTTATCTGAAATGCAAGGCCATCCGTCACTACGTAGATAATTTAAAGACTGCCTCGGGTAGAGAGCCATTCCCAAAGGGGGAAGGGGAAATCACGTTTTTATATCCATTCTTTTGATATTTTCTTTTAGAGTTTTATATACTCCATGCTCAAAAGTCAAACGATTTGAAATTTATCTTTGCATTGTTGATGAGATGGAGAGATTTTGCTGAGTATTTGGGTCAGGTAGAGCCTAGTACAGACTGAAATAAAAACAAATCAAGTGGAAATCTTCGTGCTGTTGATATTGGGGTTAACATATTGAGGGAGAAAACAATAAACCATTTGAAAATATATCCTAAAGTGCTTGCCACTTACATATAGAAATCATTGAATAAAATGTACAGATGCAACTTGACAATCGGATAACGTGTCAACTGATGGAAATAATGGAGGCAAACTTTTCTGTGGAATTACTCTTAATACCAGGTACTATATTGAAATATATGTCCTAGTTTACACTGTTACTATTGTATGTTATTTCATTTGGTTTTAACAGGATAGAGTCCACATTCAACATGGTGTTTGTATCTTAATGGAAAAGGCCCTTCTTATTTTCCAGACATTGGAAGAGGTATACCAGATTAGAGGGGAAAATGTGAATATTTTCTGGGTCCTGATGGCTATGTATATGATTCATTGGCCGGCTATTCCTGGCTACTGAGAAAAAAACTGCCCTGTTTGTCACAGTGCATTCTGATGAGATCATGAAGGAGGTTTGATATCCCAGCCTAACCCAGCAGCACGGAAAAGCAGGAGCCCCATTTTCTCAGACAGTGTAGAACGCCTTAGCTTATTTGCTTAGAAACGCCTGTCCTCTGCGTGCCCGTGTTAATGTTGTAAACAAACAATGTGTGTAGCCGAGGGAGGTGATGAGAGGCTGACTGAGACGCTCACAGATATCAGAGCCAAGCCGCATATAGATGATTCGGGAGGGCAGGAAGTCGTACTTGGTATTTAAAATCCTTGGGCAGGCCAGACAGAACAGTGTGGGACTACAGGAAACATGCTCAGGAAGTGGTGGGTTTGAGGAAGAA